TGTCATTTTAGTGTCGATAAGACTATAACTAATCATACACTAGCTGCAAGAGCTAATGATTGAACAACTTAAGATATTAATAATTTACTTCATATTATTATCCTATAATTTAAACTAATGGTCCTATAACTCGACAAAACTAAGCCACTATATACTTGTATTATCCCATACGGCTATAGATTTTGATTAGGGGAAAAAATAATTCTTTATTATAGTTGGGGCGGAGCTCTAGAAAGTGATGGTGTTGGCTTAAGTAATAATAAAAATATTATTCTCTACATTTTAATTTATACATTTATTTGATTGATTTTCAATTAATTATGAATAGATAGAAAGAAAGAAATTATTTGGGATTTATCGTCTTAGATATGCAAATAATATTGTCAGTAAAATATTTAAAACTTAATATCTTAAATATATCGTGATATTTGTGTGAATAATAAAAGTTTTTTATTAAAATAGAATAAGAAAATTAAATTAAATTGACGTCAAATTAGAAAAAGGCATGAAGTACTAAAAAAATGGAATTAAGATTTATTATCGCTTACGAAATAAATAAAAGGAAAAAAACTTTTCAGGTTTCTTAGGTATAAAAATAAATATTTTTTATGTAAAAATAAAGATTTTAGAGTTGCAATAAACTCCAAAATTGTTGAACTTCATGCAATTACGTAATTAAGGGGGAGAGAAAGGGCATATGAGTAAAAAAAAGCATCATAAAATAATTGAAATCAGTTTGCGTTGATCACGGGCAAAAGTGATGGTGAACACTTCTAGGTGACATAAAAAATCAATGATCTTAATGACTTAATGCTAACTCTGGAGACCTAGTTGTGTAAAATCAGCATTATAGACTCAGAGGCAAACCCACGTGTTCCGTTCAGGGTGTACCTGCTTCCGTTAACTTTAAAAAATTATATTATATATATACACATTGAGATATGATATATACTCTCTTCGTTTTTATATATTATTTTTACAAAAAAAAATTATACTTAATACTTCTTTCGTCCACTTTTAATTGTCATAGTTTTCTTTTTTAGAGTCAAACGATAAGAACTTTGACTAACATTTTATGATATATTTTTTCATCATACTGATATGTAAAAAATTGCAATTTATAGTATTTTTCGTATAGTTTTTGAATATCTAATTTTTTTTGTTTAATATATAATGTAATCTAATTTAACTTTGAAAATTATTCAACTTGACTTTCAAAAAACTTAACATGTCAATTAAAAGTGGATGGAGAGAGTACTTATCATTTCACAAAATCAAACAAATTTTTTTTACCTATTATATCCTCAATTAATTACTTTGAAAAATGTAGAATTTCTTGAAAATCTTAAGTTTTTAATTCATCCACTTCATAATTAATATGGGTAAAATGATAAACTTACTATGTCAATAATTATTTTTTAATAGGTGTCAATTCAAAAGTGGACAAGAAATTAGAAACAGAGGGAGTATTAGTCTTGAAAATATGAATTTGACCAACATGGGAAAACTAAATGATTATTCATGTTCATTTATTGGAAAATTTGACTTTAAGAGAACACTAAATAAGGGTACAATTGTAAACCTACTTAATTTCTTAAGGAACATGAAATTTAAAATGATGACATATAAATAGGAATGAGTGGAGTATTTTACCAGGCACAAAGACATTAAAACTATTTAGGTACGCTGATTTAAATGATGCACACCTTTGAAGTGTGAGGGGACTGAAATCTGAATTCGAATCCTATTTACTAAGTACTATATTTTTTCTTGTGGATAATGCTTTATTTTGGTCCTTCATATATTTTACTTGATTGAAATTATCCTTAATGTATAACAAATGTGTTTATTTTAATCCTTAATATATTTTACTCGATTGAAATAGTTTTTTTATATATAATAAAAGGTGTTCATTTTGATCATTTACCCTAAACCTAACAAACTTATAAAAAAGAATCTCCATAAGAAATGCTTCCACCCCGAATGAGGTCCTACACAACACAAATTCACAATAATTAGGTTCCAAACAGATATCGAACCGAATAGGAAACAAAAAAATGGGTATACGAATAAAAAGGGAATACATCCTCAGAACCTAGGCAGAAGGGGGCAAAAAAAAAACAATGTAGTGCAGAATTATGCTTCATGTATGGGACTTGCTAGGGTGAATTGAACACATTCAACCACCTATTATTGCATGTATTTTGTTCTTTCCCATGTCTAGTTAAAAGACTAGTTGGGCTCAGCTACTCATGGAGAACATGAAAGGCCATCTATTGTACTTTTGCTATGCGTTATAGGGCTTTTGTTGGACTCGTTTTGAGGTGGTACACTTGTAAAATGTCTTTGAAATTTAAAAGTAAAATATTTTATATGAGATTTACGCCTAACGCTCAATGCTGGAAATTTGATCAATAAATTTTATGAAAATCATGTATTTAATTTTTTTTTTATTAACATTATTGACTCTCAATTCTAATAGATGAATAATAAAAGATTTCTATCAAAGATAAAGATTGAAAGTAACTCATATAATAATCTATAGAACTTTAAAATTACTAATTAAGGACATTGTGAAAAATGAATATCGTTTGAACATTCTTTTGAAAATAACTAGACAATTAAACTTTATATCTTTCATTTTCTATTGGCCATGATGTGTTAAATAAGTTATTTCGGCCGCATACCAAAAAAAGTGAAAGAAATAAAACAAAAATGTTAAAAATAAAGGATTTTTTAAAATAAAGTATATTTTATTTTAAAAAATATTATTATTTTAAAAATAAACTTAATTTTCTAAATTAATTTAAAAAGGAAATACAAGAAATTAGTGAAAGTTTAATATTAATAATTATGTATACTAACTAATTGTAAAATGCTCCCATTAAACAAGAAATATGTGTCCAATATTCTCATATTTTCTCCTCTCACTTAATTTTAAGAGAATGAACACATTTTCTACGCCACTTCAGCTCTAAAAAGTATATTATTATACTTAAAATAGTTCAAGTGGTAATAAAACCCCATAAAGAAAATGCATGTCCTTAAAAATTGGGTCATAATTCAAGGGCCAAACACATTATGCAGACCCTTAAATTTGTCCCTAAATTTCATTTTGACACTCTAACTCAACCTTGATTCATTTTAACTCTAATTTTTATGTTTCATTTTGGCACTTCTAAGTAATGTGACAGAGTGTGTGCATCACACTTTCTCTAAGAGAGTGAAAAACAAAAAAAAAGTATATTTAAAAACATAATAAAAGATTAACCCTTCAACTATATTTTTTTTTATGTACCATTTAAACACAAAATACTATTTTTATGATTTCTTTATTTATATATATGCTCTTCAATTGCAATTTTGCATTTTAAAAATCGTCGTTCATCCGTTAGTTATTATAAAAAATTCAAATTGACGGATGATCATTGATTTTTTTAAAGAAAAATAACAATTTCTTTTTGAGAGTTTCCCTGTATTTTTGCGTGAAAAATAACCGACGAAAGTGTGTCGATTTTCTTTCTTAAGAAAATCAATGACAACTCAACGATGCCTATCGAGTTTCAATATTTTTTTATAGTGTTATTAATTAGCAATGAACATGAGTTTTTTTTTTACTGGTATCTAATCTATTTGGACTAACTCAAATACCAGCTTTCTAATTTTTCATTCAACTAAATACGAGTAAAAAAAAACTCATGTTCATTGCTAATTAATAACACTGTAAAAAAATGTTGAAACTCGATAGACTTCATTGGGTTGTCATTGATTTTCTTAAGAAAGAAAATCGACGCACTTTCATCGGTTATTTTTCACGCAAAAATACAGGAAAACTCTCAAAAAGAAATTGTTATTTTTTTAAAAAAAATAATCAATGATCATCCGTCAATTTGAATTTTTTACAATAACTAACAGATGAACGATGATTTCTAAAAATGCAAAAATTGCAGTTGAAGAGCATATATAGAAATAAAGAAATCATAAAATTAGTATTTTGTGTTTAAATGGTACATAAAAAAATAGAGTTGAATGGTTAATCTTTTATTTTTTTAATTTTTTTTTTTTTTTGTCTTTCACTCCCTTAGAGAAAGTGTGATGCACACACTCTGCCACATCACTTAGAAGTGCCAAAATGAAACATAAAAATTGGAGTTAAAGGGTTAAAATGGAACTAGTTTGAGTTGGAGTGCCAAAATGAAATTTAGGAACAAGTTTAAGGATCGACATATGTGTTTGGCCTAATTCAAGAAGGTATTTTATGTCTTTTCCCTTGATTTCATATCACATGTCAACCATACATCATAGTTATTCGGTATATGATTACAACAACAACATACATAGTGTAATCCACAAAGTAGAGTATGAAGAAGGTAGAATATAACAGATTATAGACCCTTGAATTGGAAAAAAATAGTCTAAAATAGTATAAACAAAAAAATAATGAAAATGAATACAATTATGATTAAATATTATATATAATCTGATAAATCAACCTAAACAATATTCATAACAAGATTTAAAAGCACAAATAATGACCAAACAACTACAAGAGTAATATTATTAGGAGCTTATTTTTAAGTGCTTTTAGGTTTTAAGCACTTTTTTTTTAGTTTTGAAAGTGTTCGGAAAAAGTTTAAACATACTTCTAAGCACTCACCTTTAAGCTAAATTTTTAAAAATAAGTCAAAAGTTGGATATCTCCTACTTATGACTTTTTAGTTTTTAACTTATAAGCTACCCCTTCATTTTAAAAAAGTGAATTAGTAAGGTATTGCACACTTTTTAAGAAAATAATATTAAGACAACAATTTACCATTACTTTTTATTTTTACCTTTTTTAATTATTGTCAAATTAGTCATTAGAAGGACAAAGCATTGATCATGATAACTACTGTCAAGTAATTTAAAATTCCTAAATAAATAAAATGGGACTCACCGTTGGCTGACTCACAGTAACTTCTTCAGAACGACGTCGTGGAAGCTTTTAGCAGTCTTTTGTAATCGCGCCACAGCAGTGAAGCAGACTGGAGCTTTTTCCCAGTTTCTGCTTTACTCATCACCTTCACACAATATTTCTCTGATAAGAATGGAAGGAGTAGGTTCTAGACTCGGTCGGGCCTCCTCCAGGTACGGCGCCACCGCTCCCGTTTTTAGCGGTCCAGTCAGAAAATGGAAGAAGCAGTGGGTTACTACTCAGCCTAACAACAATCTTCGTGGCACCGGCAACACCAACAACGTCACCGGACCAAAACTCATGCTTTGCCGTTGGACGCCTCTTGCTTCCGTTCGTTCTGGAGATTCTACTATGCCGGAAAAAACTCCTAAACGGAAGTTCCGATATGCACCTGTAAGTTAACTCTATTCGTGAACGATGTTGTAATTTTTTACTGTTAGGGTTTAGCTATCATTTATCTATTTTTTTTATTTGAAGTTTTGGATTTCCACTTTTCCTGGAAAATAATTTTGTTGGAAGATTGATTTGTTAGTAAGCACACGTTGATTGACGAGATGAGTTGGTCGGATGGTAAACACACTCCACCTTTTAGCTCTGTAATTGTGAGTTTGAGTTACAAAGGGAGGCAAAAAGAGCTGGAGCTCTAAGTAAGCACACATTAACTAGTATTGTCTTAATGTCAATGTTAGTTTTTAATTTTGGTGTCAATGGAACATGTAACCGAGTTATTTTCTCCAATTCAATTTTTTCTTTTTTAGGGTGTGTTTGGTACGAAGGAAAATGTTTTTATGGAATTCTTGGTAAACAAAGTGAGTTTCTTAATTAGTTTTCTAGTGTTTGATAAGTAAGCAAGAAGATATTATTACAAAAGCAGTTGTATGTAATTTGAGTGGGATGGGGTGGGGAGTGGTGGTTTTGGGTAGGATGGTCAAGGGGTTGGGGTTGTGTCACGACCCAATTTAGAATCGTGACCGGCGCTGAGGGGGAGAATTCCAAAGCAAGTCTTACTAGTATTCTACAGACAATCGGGCTGAGTTTTCTTTGTTTTTAGGCCTATCCTGAATTTTCACGTCTCCGAAATTCACAACACAACTAATAGCAATTATAAACCACAACATAATATCCATCAATGATCTAATTGTCACGCAATAAAAATCAATTCATCTCTAAATTACGGAAAAAATTCCAAACTAGTCACTTGACTACAGTTCGAAGGACTAATCCTGACTCAAATCAAAGGAATGACAAATGGAGAGACTCTAAGAGTTTTTAAAGAAACTAAATAAACCATAGCAAATCAATAGTTCTCTTGCCATGCGAAGCAATGTGGGGCTCACCAGATGCTACCAAATCACATTCTCTAGTTAATTGAAATCCTCTTCAATACCACCTAAGCTCTCGCTAAAAACAATTAGCGAGGAGTGAGACGCTAGCTCAGTGAGTAATAATACTTAACCACAATCATTTTAATGAGGGACAAGTCAGAAAACATGCTAGTAAATAATCAAAATGATGTAATAATACCCTTTCAGAAACAATAACCATATTCAATCTTATTTGCCTCATGTAAGCAAAATCAATGTAAATACTTAATAGTAAACTCAGAAAAAAACATTTCCATAACAAATCTTATAGCTGGGAGGTTTCCAAGGATGAATCATGTAATCAGTGTGGCCTTCTCTTTAAGAAGTAACCAATAACAATGAACTCCTCATAAAGGAGTTAAATATTCATATCAGTAGTTCCCTACTGGAGGGATATCAGTAACAATATGCTAGTTCTACCTTCCCACTAACAAGGGCTTTATTAGTAATATGTAACTACAAGGTGCACCACGTCTAACGAACCCTCCGTTAGCTACGAGATTCATCAAGTTCTACTCCCATTTATACTTTTCTTGTAATCAGTAGAAGCATTTCAAAATCGAATAGAGCATTAAATCTTATCAAATCATATTATTTCAAGGTTTAACAATCACATGTCAAAATACTATTTCTCAAATAAGTGTAAAACCTTTTCATTAACAATAATCATATCTTGTAAGAATGAGATCATCTCAAATAATCCTTTCTGTATCATATCAAGTAAAAGACTTGTCCCACATGCAAGTTCAAAACATTCGGTAACACATTTACTTTATAAATCATGTGAAAATCATGAAAGTTATAAACATCAATTGTGGTAAGATTACTACTCACAGTACTCCTGTCGAATTACCAAGTTCGCCACTCGATTACTCGTACGAATTTCTTTGGTCAATCTATAATCACATTCATAACAATTTCGTGTTAACTCCTTCGTTTAGGCTATTTCATGCTAAATTCAGAATACCCAGCCCCTTTTTGGACTTCTTGGTTGCCCACCAATTTGATGCACCATATATATTCAAGCCATGAGTAATTCAGTTGGAGCAATAAACTATTAACTAAATCTATTTTATCCATCTTATTCACATCCAATTCTACATATCCTCTAATCTCTAGCAATCAGATTTCTATCCCCAAAGTAAACTACCTAGGCTAGGAGTCTTAGCAAGTCTGTAAAAGAAGAAGAAAGGAAACAAAGATTTACCTCAAACCTATTTCTCCTCCTACGCCCCTTACAATTTTCACCCTTCAACTCTTTCTTCTCTTCTCTGTTCCTTCGCTGGAAAAGAAACGCAGCTCCTACCGTTCTCTTCTTTTCTACTTTTTCTTATTTTTTTCTTAGTTGCAGCGTTGATGCTCTTCTGTTAGGGCTTTTAGCCCCTTTTTTTTTTTAATTTTTCTAAACGTTTTTGGTCAAACAACACCCAATCAACTTTTTTTTTTTTAAAATAAGAGCTAAATGACATATATGCCCTTATTTTAATATAGGGTATTATAGGTTGGGGGCGTTGGTAGATGGAGAGGAGACAATTAACTTGTAATGTCACTTATGAGTTTTTTTTCTCTTCTAACATTAGGGAAGTCTAAAACATTTTGACCAACCAAATATGAGAAAATCAGAAACCATACAAAACAAACCCCTAGACTCGACATCAACATACTCAGTGTAATCCAACAACATCACCCCTAGACTCTTCAATTTATATATGTGAAGGGAAATTCAGTTTTCTTGCATTTTAAATTATGAAAGTGCATAAAATTGGTTCATTTTTAAATTATATGAAAGCTAAATGTGTCATGGTACTATTGTAAGGTTGTTTCAGATGGTACTCGAATTCCATCTGCAACAATGAAGAAAATTAGCGACAAAGTGAACATGGATCTAGTTCAGGAGTGGTAGAGGTAGAGGTAGGCCGAAGAACTATTGGGGAGAAGTAATTAGACATGACATGACCCAATTTTAGCTTACCGAGGGCATGACCTTAGATAGGAGGTTGTGGAATACATGTATTAGGGTAGACGGTTAGTAGAAAGGAGTGCATTGTTCGTCCATACTAGTAGGCATAGTATCTCTTGTAGTTTTTTGTTTTTCGATTTCTATTACTATCTGATGTTTCTTGTACTTCAATTGTCGTATTATTTTATTGTGGTATTGTTCTTTGACTATCTGTTATTTTTGTTACTATCTGTTGGTTCTTGTACTTTCACTACTATTTGTTGTTTTTCATTGAGCTGACGGTTTATGAAAAACAACCTCTCTACCTTTGACTTAGGGGTATGGTTTGCGTACGCTCTACCTCCCCAGATCCCATTTTGTGGGATTACACCGGGTGTTGTTGTTGACCTCTTGAATATGCAGATTGTTGACTTGAAAGAAAAGAAAAAGGAAGCTCCTGACAACAAAGCTAAATCGAGGAAGCTGAATCAAGCTATCACAAGTTCAACATTGAACGATAACATCTTGACGAAACAAAGCATCAATGATATCTTTGATGACGATTTTGAGGTAATATTTTGATCTTTGTTACCTTTTAGAAAAACAGTTGCATTTCTGTTGTCTATTGTTGTTTTATATTTTCTTCGGTCGTTTGGTTGGGAACAAGACTTATCCCACCATGTATATGGGATAACTTATCCCATCACTATGATATAAAAAATGGTGGGATAAGTTATCCCAAACATGACAACGAAACAAGATAATTTTTTTTTATCCCATCACTAATATTTTTAATCCCTCACACCAAACAAGTTTATGTATGCTCTCCTTTGCTCAATTTTCTACTTAACCTTAATCAAACTTAAATAAGTTTTGATTCACTTGAACGATAAGAAATATCCTACTCGATATGTGGTGAAATTCCAATAAAGTCTTCCCAACTCAGGGTTTGTCCTTTTTAATACGCCAGCTCGTTATTATGTGTAAAAACTAGGACTCTAGAAATCCTCAACAGTCAAATTAATTGATATTTAAAATCCTAAATCAACTAGGGTTTGATTAAATGAATTCTCCATATCCATTTTGCACTAGTCAGGTTCACTTCATTCCAGTAGTAAATAATTTAGGAGTTCTCACACATATTCATACACAACTAATTAGTCCAATATCAACTATTGCCTATATGATTCATTTGTTGACACATTTCGTTCTGTTATAGCTAATTATTCATCTTCTGGTGAGACCTCTGAGGGATTTTAAGTTTGCTGAAATAACTTCCTTCCATGTGGTTTTAGCTCTATCTGTCAACTTTTTTCACTTTCAATCATCATATAATCACATGGACAGACTGAAGGATCTATGTAAGGACATAGCTAAATCTTCTCAGACTGCGGTCATTTCTAATCTTGTTCAATATAGATACCACATCCTTCTAATATGTAGTTTCATTTTTTGTACCTACTTTGAAATTGATACTGGCCAGAGTTTAATGAAGGTTTTTTCGTGTACCTCAGGAACTAAGGACAGATCAGTCCATTCAGACCGAAAGTGAGCCGGATTATGACTTGTACTTGGAAGGTTGTGATTGAGGCACGGCGGAATGGAGAAGATTGGTTGTTATTAAGGTAGATCGTAGTGATATTTAGGTCTAAATGGTTGTAAATATAACCCTCTAGTTTTTGTGCCAACTTAGAATCTAATGTATAAATGATTGTAAATATAATCCCTCTAGTTTCTGTGCCAACTTAGACTCTAATGTATAAATGATTGTAAATATAATCCCTCTGGTTTCTTTTGACGACTTGCTAGTTGTCGTCCTTTTCATAGTGACCTTTCAATATCATCACTATCATAAATATCAATCCCGTCAAGAAGAAAACCTTTAGGCTTATTATCCAAAAACTTGTTTAGAAATATTGTAATGAAAGAAACATCATTGGGAATTTGACCAAATAAGATTGTTCAATTCCTATAAAACCTATCACTAAAATATCTCTAGAGGGAGATAGGGCTAAGTAGAGCGAAAAGGGTTGAGTTAAACTCTATTTGGATAAGTTGAGAGAAAGGACAGCAAAGTAAACCTCCCCCACAATAAAGCAGTCATTATTAACAGACATTACTTAACACTGTAAAACAAAAAATAAAATACTAGAAAAAACTATAACTACTCTGTGAACGGACAGTTCCATTAGAGGATCTGGAACTAAACTCCTTATCAAAAGTGAGCAAATTTTTCTTTTCGAGCTCCAAAATCTTGGTTCATGACCCACCTGTTTAAGCTTCAGTTCTTCAATCTGCCTTCGTACTCTCCATGGCTACCGTCACACCAACTTCAGCTGGCCGAATGATTCGGTCATGCAAGGTGTACCCCGACTGGAACAAGAAGGGAAGTCATGTCTATTAGTCATTCGACTTCAATGAAAAGGGATGTATAAAGTAAATACTAGATTTGCAATAATCAATAAGGATAAAGTGCATGAAGATTGAAATAGCAAATAAAATACACGAATGCCGGAGAAGAAATTCCTAACAGATACCTTGAGGCAGACAGCGACCATGCCAGGAGCCTTTTTAGGATCTGGTACTTGAAACACTGCATTATGCTTATTTGGATCAAATTCTTCATTTGTAGGATCATATTTTCCCACACCAAATTTTTTGAATACCTGAAAAGTAACGAGATGTAAGCAAAAACCAGCACTGAGAAACATATAATGGAGACCTCCTCGCGAAGGTCTTTCGAGACATTTAAGTCGAAGAAGCAACAATAACATAGACCAGAAGGAAATAGGAAGGATTACAAATTTAACCCCTTGAAGTTACTGAACCTTACATTACAATTGGAGCAACAGTAAGGATTTTACTGGGATTTTTCCAATATCAAAGAAATTGTTTTGGAGCTTCTCTTCCAGCTGTATGTGTACATATATAGCAAACTGCAAACCCTCTTCGCTGCTGCTTCATTTCAGAAGCTGGTTGGGGCATTTAGCAGAAGTGAATGAGCAGCAATAGGTTCTTTTGCCATAATCTGTAGGGTTTTACACGGCTTTAAAGGCTAATTTTTGGAACTACCACCTTGTTGAAATTTAAAATTATAAATTTCTCCGGATTCACCCTAAAAGACCTAAGTTGTTTATATTGTAGATTATGTTTGTAAAAAAAAAGGTTGAAGTGTTTCATAGATGAATTCAGAGTCTACGAAAGCAGTAAAAAAGGAACATAAGCCATGGACTATATTTAGGTGAAAAAGTGTACCTCGGAAAGCTGTTTATCAGTCATTTCAACACCTTCCAGAAGTGTCTTCAGAAGTGGCACAGCACCAACAGTATCCTTAGATTCATCAATTTTGGAGAAGCTCTCTTTTACAACAGAAGAAGCCCGTTCCATATTATCAGCAACATCTAGAAGAGATTTCACAAAATTCTGCAATAGCATTTATGCAGAAGATGAGAAAAAATCACAAGCATAACGTAATACTAATAAGTAAATGCAGGACTATCTGGCAAAACATGTGCCTAGAAAAACTAACTTGAATGGCAAACTTTTTGGAATTTTCTGCTTCTCGTTTGGTTCTGTTCATTACATTCTCCATCTCCGCATAAGATCTAAGAGCTTTTTCCTTCATTTTCTGAAACTCATCATCTTTTATCTTTAGGAGTTCTTCCTTCTCAGCCACTAGTTTCACCAAGTCATCCCTAGAAAGATCCTCCGTATCTAAATCAGAATCAGAATCAGAAGATGCAGCTTGTTTAGTACGTCTTCTTCTTCGTTTGACATTTTCATTTGTGTTATCATTGGATGCCAAATCAGGACCTGATTCATCATTCTCATCTTGACCCTGAGAATCAGCAGAAACTGAAGCTTCACATTTTTCATTCACTTCTCCATTCTCTTTTGTGCTTCCCAGTTTGCTTTGGGACTGAGATGTCTCTTTTTCATTATGTTGGGGCGATGCAGAGGATGAAATTCCAAACCGTTGCAAGACAGATTCATGAAATAGAGTAACCTGATTCACCATTAGCAGAACCAGCAATATTTAGGTGCATATGGAAATTGAACATTTCTTCTTTTGACAAGTACAGAGTAACTAATACATAAAATCTCAAGGCATCAAACTTAGTGGAACGTTGATTTTACAGCTCGAGCAAGTTAAAAGATCTATAAAGTTATCTAGGCACTGTACAGTATCTTGATCACAGCAAAAAGAACAAGTTAGCCAGGTAACTATTTTTCAAATTATGTAGGTCTGGATATCCCTTTGAAACCTGACAGAGCCAATCCAACTGATAAACATCCTACAACTGGTAGTGAACATAACACACTCCATACCAAACATCCCAGGAACAAGCTCCAAATATTGCAAACTATCTCAAAATGCAGAAAAAGATTGCTTATAGTTGTTTCTAAAATTAAGCAAGCTAGCAGCCAATTAAGGTACTCCAACATCTGGCACCTTTTTAGATTCTCAAAGTTTCAGTAAAGGTTTCAAGTGATTGTTTTGCATCCTGATTTTTTGCAATATTCTGTTGCTACAGCTAAAGTAACACTAAGATCAACGATTCAAATAGAAGCCTATGATACAGCTAAATTACGAGTACTGCTTAAACCCTAGCAAAACCCTACACATTAAAAATCGACGAAAAATGAACAACTTCATAAGTATTAAGGCACAACATCAAACCTTCTCTTTGAATTCACGAAAGGAGTGAAACTGAGATGCAAGACTGGGAACGTATTGTTGCTGTTGCTGTTCTCGGGAATAGAGGAGCAACGAGCTCCGGCACTGAGCTACGACGGATTTTGGGAAACGAGATGGAATTCTACTAACCAACATCTCCAAATTCACAGTTTGAGCTCAGATTTGGAGAAATGGAGAAGTGAGAAATGTGGAGAAGAGACGTAAATAGAAGTGTGATCAGTTCATCGCTTGTAGAGAAAGAAAATTGTGAATTGTCGAGAAAACCCCTGTCTTGTTCAACAGGGTATTATACCGTAATCCCTTTATTTAAAAAAGAATGACGTCTTTTTCTAATTTCAGCTTTTCACGTGCATGTTTAAGACCATAAGATTAAAAAATAATTTTGTACATTTGACATAACTTTAATTTAAGACCACAAGATTCAAATATCTTCTTTATTTTCTTAAACTCCTGCTAATTTCGTGTCAAGTCAAATTATGTCATTCTTTTTGAAATTGACGGAGTACTGTAAAAGTAATAAGAGGATGCCAGGGTTATATTTGTCATTTTTGAGAAGATACTTCAGTTAATTATGGAAACGTCCAGAAAGGGATAGGAAAATTGAGTAACGGAGGGCCGGAAATCTTCATTTCATGACGGCGTCTACTTGACGAATTTTTTCTGCCCATCTATTTTTTTAATGATAAATATTATCTTAGTTTTTGTTATTCTTTTTTTTTTACTATATTAATAGTAAAAAAAACATGAATCTCACATAATAGATAAAATTGTGCACTAATTTTGGATGTTTGACAAATTCGTAATGTTTGAAACAATTATCTTGTTAACTAAAAACAACACACTTTAACATAAATCCTACAAAATTAAGTGTTCGATAATTTTTTGGAAATTGTATTGAGCATTAATTTAGTATGGCTATATAGCTCCATTCACCTTAACGGTCATCAAGCCTAATCCGTTAATGAAAGCCATAAAACGTTCATAAGGATATTGTGTTGTATTCAACTTAAAATACAATCATGAAATTAAAAATATCAAAAACTCCTTAGAGACGTACCATAAAAAAAACTTAGTTGGCCGATTGGTTCTGCTAATGAATCTTTTTATGAACAACAACATACTCAGTGAAATCTCACTAAGTGGAGTCTGAAGAAGGTAGGGTGTATGCATACCTTATCACTACCTCGTAAATAAAAATATAAAAACAAGAAGCATCAACACAAAAGTAAGATCAAGCCGGATGTAGAATTCATAATGCATATTTACATGCAGCCTTATTTACCATATGATACTATTACTTCAGTACTCACTATTAAGCCCAAGTCTCAATGTGGGAGTTAGAATGAGAATACACGATCCATAAAATAATAAACATCACGTCTGCCAGGCGCCAGCAATTACTCTATGCTATATCAGCTCTGGACCTCGTCAATCGTAAGGATTTCTGAAATTCTTGAGAAGTTCAGGGATGTCATAACCAAGCATGTCATCGACGGATTGTATCAATTTGGGCTTCAACTTCTCAAACTTATCAATGTTATAACCACTCAGAACTTCCCTGAAGTGTTCAACGTTAGGAAAATCCCCAGCTGGTAGATGGTGTTCCTTTTGAACCTGTTTTGATGAGTTGGAAATTAAGACACAATACTAAAGCTCCAGATAAGAATCATGTCACAAGTGCATGAAATTGCTCGTTGGTGCTACACATGCATGCACGTTGACCACATATGTACGTAGATTTGAGACAGACAACAGAGGGGAGAGAGAGAGATGGACCTTCATAAATTGATCTTCCAAGTTATCAACAAGTTTTTGCTGGGTCTTGGCTTTGCCTATCATAGCAGGCATCTCCTTTTTCAGGTGACTGATAATGTAAGAATGTATCTTGGCAGCTCTAGCACGTTTTACGAATTCATTTATCTGCACCAAAATATAGCCTGTTTGTTATCATCATTTTTCAAAAAACTTGGACGCACAGTATATAGAAGTAAGTAAAATGGGATGCCATAATGAAGATTATGAACTTACACGACGATCACAAGCCTTCTTTGGTATGTTTTTCAAGTCTGTAAGGAGATCATCTTGTTCCTTCTCAAAAAGTT